CTCTCTTCCTTATGACATCCCCTCAAATATTTAAACATAGTGATCATGTCTCTTCTCAACCTTCTCTTCTGCAGGCTAACTATATCCAGCTTTTTAAGCTGCTCCTGTTAGGGCATGGTCTCCAGACTTTCGATCACTTCTTTTGCCCCCCTCTGGACACCTTCCAGCTTGTCAATATCCCTCTTGAATTGTGGTGTCCAGAACTGGACACAGTATTCCAGGTGAAGTCTGACCAAAGCAGAATGGAGAGGCACCATGACTTCCCTTGATCTAGACCAGGCATGGGTAAACTTTTTTGCTTTATAGTCATATTGTGGGCCTGGCCGGGAGTGGGGTATTTGCACGCTGGGTGGGCATGGGCACACGAGGGGTAGGGCCTGGGGGATTGTGAGGCCATGAGGGGGCAGGGCCATCCTCAGGCTGTCCTGACAGCATAAGGATGGGACTGCCAGCCTCATTCTTATGCCGGGAAATTTGGTGACTGCCTCATTCTTGGGCTGGCCTCTTGGCATTATGCCAGGGGGAAGATGAGACAGGTGGTGACTGAGAGTGCTCCGGAGGGTTCTCAGACACCATGTGCTTTCTTTGAGCAGTCCTCCCAGCATAAGGATGGGGCATGCGTTCTACTGTATAGATCAGGCATGGGCCAACTTGGGCCCTCCCTCTAGGTGTTTTGGACTTTGATTCCCACAATTCCTAACAATCTCAGGCCCTTTCCTTTTTCCTTCAGGGAAAATATAGCTGGGTTTACTGTTGATCAGGCAAGGGCCAACTTGGGCTCTCCAGGTATTTTGGACTTCAATTCCCACAATTCCTAACAGCCTCAGACCCTTTCCTTTTCCCCTCAGGGAAAATATAGCTAGGTATACTGTAGAACAGACTGGTTCAAGATTGGGAAAGGCGCACAGCAGGATTGTATACTTTCACCCAACCTATACAACTTGTATGCAGAACACATCACACGATGTGCAGGGTTTAACAAATGCAAGGCTGGGGAAAAAATTGCTGGAAGAAACATTTACAACCTTAGATATGCAGATGATACCACTTTGATGGCCAAAAGCAAGGAGGAGCTGTATTTCTAGGTGCAAAGCTTACTGCAGATGCAGACTTCAACCAGGAAATCAGGAGATGCTTACTTCTTAGGAAGAGAGCAATGACCAATCTCGATAAAATAGTGAACTCCAGGACACTGAAGTAGAGACATCACACTGGCAACAAAGATCCATACTTCAGGAAATAAAGCCCGACTGCTCATTGGAGGGAAGGATATTAGAGGCAAAGATGAAGTACTCTGGCCACATCATAAGAAGAAAGGAAAGCTTAGGGAAGACAATTATGCTGTGAAAAATGGAAGGAAAAAGGAAGAGAGGCTGACCAAGGGCAAGATGGATAGATGGTATCCTTGAAGTGACTGGATTGACCCTGAAGGAGCTGGGGGTGGCGACGACCGACAGGGAGCTCTGTCGTGGACTGGTCCATGAAGTCACAAAGAGTCGGAAATGACTGAACAAATGAACAAAAAGAGACATCACACTGGCAACGAAGATCCGCATGGTTAAAGCAATAGTATTCCCCATAGTCACCTACGTATGTGAGAGCTGGACCATAGGGAAGACTGAGCGAAGGAAGATCGATCCTTTTGAACTGTAGTGTTGGATATTTATTTATCGTGTCATCAGCACCCATACCATTGTATTACATTTCTAACAGAACAAAACAAACAGACAGATTAAAAAAGAAAAGCACAGATTTTGCAAACTTGGTAGTTGATTAAATGTCCTTTGACCAGTATCTGGCCACTTGGAGTGCCTCTGGTGTTGCCGCAAGAAGGTCCTCCATTGTGCATGTGGCAGGGCTCAGGGTGCATTGCAGCAGGTGGTCAGTGTAGTGTTGGAAGAAAGTTCTGAGAGTGCCTTGGACCGCCAGAAGATCCAACCAGTCCATACTTCAGGAAATAAAGCCCGACTGCTCATTGGAGGGAAGGATAGTAGAGGCAAAGATGAAGTACTTTGGCCACATCATGAGAAAACAGAAAAGCTTAGAGAAGACAATGATGCTGGGGAGAATGGAAGGAAAAGGGAAGAGGGACCGACCAAGGGCAAGATGGCATCCTTGGAAGTGACTGGCTTGACCCTGAAGGAGCTGGGGGTGGTGACGGCCAACAAGGAACTCTGGCGTGGGCTGGTCCATGAGCTCACAGAGTTGGAAACGACTGAACAATAACTGTAGATCACACACGGGCCAACTTGGGCCCTCCCTCCAGGTATTTTGGACTTCAATTCCCACCATTCCTAACAGCCTCAGGCCCTTTCCTTTCCCCCCTCAGTCGCTTAAGTGGGAATTGGAAGTCCAGAACACCCTCTGTTTAAAAGCTTTGCATTTCGTTTTTTCTGCCAAAGTGGAGTTTCTTGCAAGGTTGCTCTGAACATAAAGCATAAGCAAAAAAAAGCCAATGGGATTTTGGCCTGCATCGATAGGAGCATAGTGTCTAGATCTAGGGAAGTCATGCTACCCCTCTATTCCGCTTTGGTTAGATCACACCTGGAATATTGTGTCCAATTCTGGGCACCACAATTCAAGAGAGATATTGACAAGCTGGAATGTGTCCAGAGGAGGGCGACTAAAATGATCAAGGGTCTGGAGAACAAGCCCTATGAGGTGCGGCTTAGGGAACTGGGCATGTTTAGCCTGAAGAAGAGAAGGCTGAGAGGAGATATGAGCCATGTATAAATATGTGGTTGATAAAGAAAAAATTTGGTTCTAAAATCGATTTGTAATTGGGGTGTTTTTTTGTTTCGATATTTAAAATAATTACAAAATTTCCCCCTACAATCCGTTAATATTTACGAAAATTTCGTAAATATTAACGAATCGATTCGTTAAGATGGCGGACCCCCGCGCGCATGCGCAAAACATTTCCGAAGCTTACGTTATTGCCGCGGGGTCGATTCGTTAAGGGGGCTCCCTCAACTTGCTTCTAAACAAGGGGGATGGACTGGATGACCTTTGGGGGTCCCCACTGGGAGTTGAACTCCAAAGCCCTTAGAGGAGGAGGAGGAAGAGGAGGAGGAGGAGGAGTTTGGGAGTCCTTGGTGAAGATCAGAGGATGCTTGACATGGGAGGGAGGAGGGAAAGGGGAGAAGGAGGGAGGGAGGCAAGGAGGAGGGTGGCCTTGGCTGCAGGGGAGCCTGCACCATGGAAGAAGGGGGCATGATCCAAGGGAGAAGATGCTCGGAGGAGGATGGATGCGTGGATGGAGGGAGGATGGAGGCAGGCAGGCAGGCAGGCAAGCGGGTGTTTCCCTCCTTCCCGCTCTCACCGGTCTCCTGCTCCCCGAGGAAGGCATCCTCCTCCTTGCGGGAGCGGAGGCAGCTCTCCGAGCCCCCTCCTCCTCCTCCTCCTGCCGCCGCCGCCTCCTCCTCCTCGGGCAGCCGGGGAAAGCTGGTGATGCTCATGTAATCCACGGGCGAGTAGGCGCCCAGGCTGCTCTGCTGGCTCGCCTCCTTCTCGGCCGCCGCAGCCGCGGCTCCAGCAGTCGCTGCGCTGCTCGCCATCCTTCTGCCGGGAAGGGAAAGCCAAGCCAAGCAAGCAAGCAAGGAGGCAAAGCGCGCTCGCGGGGGAGGGGCGGGGCAAAGAGAAAGGGGCGCCGGAGCGCCGGATTGGCTCCCAGGCACCAGCAGCATCCTCCATCCAATTTCCGAAACGGGCGGAAACTCGTTAAAAGGATGGGGGATGCCGCTTCGTTATTTTTAAACCCTTCCGGGTTTAAAAAAGTGTTTTGTTATCGTTTCGTAAATGCAAAAAATAACGAATGTTTAACGAATTACGAAATTAACGAACGAAACCGCACAGGCCTAATGTATAAATATGTGAGAGGAAGCCACAGGGAGGAGGGAGCAAGCTTGTTTTCTGCTTCCCTGGAGACTAGGGCACGGAACAATGGCTTCAAACTACAAGAGAGGAGATTCCATCTGAACATGAGAAGAACTTCCTGACTGTGAGAGCCGTTCAGCAGTGGAACTCTCTGCCCCGGAGTGTGGTGGAGGTTCCTTCTTTCGAAGCTTTTAAACAGAGGCTAGATGGCCATCTGTCAGGGGTGATTTGAATGCATTTTCCTTCTTTGGAAGCTTTTAAACAGAGGCTGGATGGCCATCTGTCAGGCGTGCTTTGAATGCATTTTCCTTCTTTGGAAGCTTTTAAACAGAGGCTGGATGACCATCTGTCAGGGGTGATTTGAATGCAATATTCCTGCTTCTTGGCAGTGGGTTGGACTGGATGGCCCATGAGGTCTCTTCCAACTCTTTGATTCTATGATTCTATGACTAGGACGCAATGGAGCCATGGTTTCAAACTACAAGAGAGGAGATTCCACCTGAACATGAGGAAGAACTTCCTGACTGTGAGAGCCGTTCAGCAGTGGAACTCTCTGCCCAGGAGTGTGGTGGAGGCTCCTTCTTTGGAAGCTTTTTATACAAACAGATTCCTCTGTAGTCCGCATCCTTCTCTCTCTCCTCCACAAGCCAGCGTTGCCCAACATTCAGAGATTCCAGAGAAGTAGCGGTGCCTCATTCCTTCCTTCCCTCCCTCTCTCCCTCCCTTCATGACTGACTCATGAATCACAGCCGAAGGTGGAGGGGAAAAAAAGAAGGAAAGAGCCGGAAGTCCTTCCCCGCCCTCTTATTGGCCCTTCTCCGTATCACTCAGGGAACTCCAGGACCAACAAACAAACAAAAAAAAAGAGCCCACCAAAAGAAGAGGCGGGAACAGCGACCAATCCGGGTCTTTCCTTCTAGTTTGTCTGAGCACCTCAACCGCCCCACACCCTCCGTTTTTCAGTCGCGCGCTCAGGTTTGATTGGGCCAAAGGCGCGAGGGCGAAAGAGGGGAAAGGGGGGGGGGGGGAGAGGGAAGAGGAGCGCGAGACTCCTCAGCACGCAGGCGCAGTAGGGTCTTGAGCGTAGGGTGAGGGAGGGGCGCGGCAACGGGGCCTTCCGCTTGGCCCCGCCCTTTCTCCGGAGCCACGCCCCCTCACCGCCCTCACACAGGAGAGCGATGAGGCAAAGCAGCGGTGCTTTGGTTAACGCCGCTGCGGCGACGACGACAACGACGACGACGGGCCCTCCGTGAGGAATGAGACCCCCATGTTTCCCCGAGGAGCCCCCGCGGCTGTGAGGAGGCCGGGAAGGAGCGGCGTCCCGGCTCCGGAGGCTGAAAGGAAAGGGAGCGTTCTCTGCGGCGGAGGCGCCTTCTTCTTCTCCTCTCAGGAGCAACCGGAACCAGGAAAACGGCTGGGATTTAATTGCTGAGGGATAGAGATAGCCTGAAGGAGAAGGAAAGGCCAAACAAAGTGTGGGGGCGTCTTTTGCGGCCCTCTCTCCCCTCCTTTTCAAACTTCCCACAGGAATAAGGAAAGGACTTGGTGCTCTAAAACAAACCTTGGAGACTTTGGATCTACAAACATCAAGTGACCTCCGTCCTTCCTTCCCTCTGGATTTCCTTGGGGTGGTTCAACTTGGAGAGGACATCCATATATCCCAATAGCAAAAAAAAACATTGTTGGGAAACTTGTAGGTATTTTGAATGCCTCTCTCCAGCAGGCTGAGGGGGGAAAGGAAGGGGCCTGAGACTTAGGAATTGTGAGAGTTGAAGTCCAAAACACCTGGAGGGCCCAAGCTTGCCCATACCTGGTTTAGACTCATTATAGTGCAGTTAAACCGCATTGGACTGTATAATGCAGTTTCAAACTGCATTATACAGCAGTGTAAATATTGCCTTTGTTACCTATCATATAGTGTGTCCTTTCTGAGGCACGTGTGGACGATTAACTATAATAGGCATAAGTTTGAGTGTCACTGCGTGTCACAGTTATTATCTTTCTGTCTTTTGAATTATATTCATATTCGCTTTGAATTCTTAAAACACGTTGAGGTGAATGAGCCAAAACTATGTTTTCTTTGTATGTTGATTGCTTATTTCCATAAGAAGCACAGAGTTACTGCCAATGATTCTGTTGGAGCAAAGATTCCCTTTGGGTTGATGTTTTCCATGCTCATGTTCCAGGAGCATTCTCTCCTGATGTTTCACCCACATCTATGGAGGTTGTTACGTCAGTTGGAAACTAGGCAAGTGGGGTTTCTATACCTATTGAATGCCCAAGAGTTGAAGTACTCTTGTCTGTTTGAAGCAAGTGTGAATGTTGTAATTGGCTAGCCTTGTTTTTTTTCATGTCAGGAGTGACTTGAGAAACTGCAAGTCGTTTCTGGTGTGAAAGAATTGTCTGTCTGTAAGGACGTTGTCCATGGGACGCCAGGATGTTTTACCCTCCTGTGGGTGGTTTCTCTCATGTCCCCACATGAGAGGCTAGAACTGACAGACGAGAGGTCACCCCGCTCCCTGGATTCGAACCTCCAACTTTTTGGTCAGCCGTCCTGCCGGCACAAGGGTTTAACCCATTGCACCACTAAAGGCTCCTTGATCAGCTTGATCAGCATTGAATGGCCTTTCAGCTTCAAAGCCTGGCTGCTTCCTGCCTGGGGGAATCCTTTGTTGGGAGGTGTTAACTGGAAAATCCACAGCAACCCAGTGATTCCATCCATGAAAGCCTTCAGCAACATGAAGATTACCTTTCTTCTCAGAAAGTTTGCAGTCGACGTGTTACTGGGGTTTTCTTCATCAAAAGTTATATTGTAATTTTCCATCCATTTGAAAGTCTATGCCTTTGTTACTTATCAAAGTGTATCCTGAGCCATGTGAGGACAATTGCCTGTAACAGAGTTTAATTTGAGAGAGTGTGTCTCTGCATGAGGAAAAGGGAATACAGTTATTATTATCACACTGGCTTTGAATTATTTTTATACTGGCTTTGAATTTCTTAAACATATTACAGAGGCTAATGAGCCAATACTATGCATTCTCTCTATGTTGACTGTCTATTTCCATAAGATGCGCTCATTTGCTGTCAATGATTCTGTATGACGTTGGAGTGAAGATTATTTTTCATCCACCGAAAGGTCACAATAGGTGGGTTGTTGTAGTTTGTCATCAAAAGTTATATCGTAGTTTTTCCTTGACATATCCTGTATTTCCTTGAGGTGAAAGCGTGAAGTCAGCATGTCTTGTTTTCCTTTGTGGGCATGTGTGCCTGGGTGCGGGGGCAGGAATAATTTCATACACCACTCTTTCTTTTTCTTGCAAAATTAAGATCCCAGATGGCCAATTCCCTCAACGGCCGGAACCCAGGTGGCCGAGGAGGAAACCCCCGCAAAGGGCGTATTCTGGGCTTCATTGATGCTATTCAGGATGCAGTTGGCCCTCCGAAGCAAGCAGCTGCTGATCGCAGGACTGTGGAAAAAACTTGGAAATTAATGGACAAAGTGGTGAGTCTGTAAATTGTGTTCCCTTGTCTGAGAAGAATTGAGAGGACATACATATAAATGAGAACTGTTATTGTCAGTGTCCTTTCATGGAAGCACTACTTCTGGATTGTGTTAAATACTGTGTTAATTTGGCCTCTGTCTATTTGTTCTCTTCAGCATGGAAATAGTGAGAAAAATGACATTCTGTCATTTTAAATATTATGCTTTCTGATATAATGCATTATTTACATAAACAGATACTTATAGGGTTTTGAAGAAGCCCATTGTTTTACGTGAATCTAATGTACATTGGGTCACATTACAACATCTCCCAGGCAAAGAAACTTCAGTTAAGTTAACCAAGCTGTGAAATGTTGTTGTTGTTGTTCATTCGTTCAGTCGTCTCCGACTCTTCGTGACCTCATGGACCAGCCCACGCCAGAGCTCCCTGTCGGCCGTTACCACCCCCAGCTCCCTCAAGGTCAGTCCAGTCATTTCAAGGATGCCATCCATCCATCTTGCCCTTGGTCGGCCCCTCTTCCTTTTGCCTTCCACTTTCCCCAGCATAATTGTCTTCTCTAGGCTTTCCTGTCTCCTCATGATGTGGCCAAAGTACTTCAACTTTGTCTCTAGTATCTTTCCCTCCAGTGAGCAGTCGGGCTTTATTTCCTGGAGGATGGACTGGTTGGATCTTCTCGCATACTCATAGGTTAATCACATGACTGCAGTTCATGCTGCAGTTTAGAGAAACAATTCTGAGTTTTTAATGTATGAACAAACACAATTTAAGCACCAACTTATGGTACCAATATTCTTTTAAAATATATTATGTGACAGTTTGATGAACAGCTCTTGCAAAGTTATTTACCCATGGTGGTATGATGGATAATATATTGAAAAATATTTATAATTATATCTGAATCAGAATCACTTATTTGGTTGAATTCACATAATTCCAAAGTGAATTCCCCTTTTGTTCACTACCAAAGAAATGTGTTCATAACAAAAATGACCAGTTTTGGTTGTGGTCATTGATGATGGCTCTATTTTTAATACTGAATTAAGGGCATCAGCTTTTGCTATAGTTTGCTGAAAGCTGTAGGATTGCTTCTTTAATATAAACTTCACAGTTTTATATAAACTTCACAGATATAGAGCAAGTAAATATCTATAACTATGCAATATATTTCTAAAACCTGCTTCTTTAAAACACATTTTGAAAGGTTACTAGTGTATATATTTTGCTAGCAGATAGGAATAGAATATGTATTCATGAAGATGCTTTCATAGCCTTAATTCATATAAAATGTTCATTAGTAGGTTGTTCTACTGCGTAGTATTAGCTGTGGATATCATTATTAATATTTGGTGGGGGTTGAGAACTACTTCTGGGAAACCTGGCAGGGCATAAACATGTTCATATAGATACATGTCTATGTATGAATTCAGTTCTAACTAACCTGGATGTTTTCCTCCCAGCACAAGGCACAGGTCAGTTCTATTCAAGTCTGCTCAAACATAAGGCTTGATGTTTTGCATATACAGAGCATTCAAAATTGGAAGGTAGTGAAAAAGTTAAATGCCTTCAAGTTTCTTGAATCTCTATGGATAACCTATTAAGGACTGAAAAAACTTCAACCCTAGTGATTGTAGCCTGGGCACAGTTGGTGCACAAGTTTTAATTGTTCAAAGTCCCTCCTGGCCACCGCAGTTACCTGGGCCTCTGTTGAGTCCAGGAGGACCCCCAAACTGCTGACCTGTGTCTTCGGGGGAGTGTAACCTCATCCAGCCTAGGCTGGATCCCTATTCCCTGATCTACCTTCTGACTGACCAGGGGCACCTTTGTCTTGTCCAGATTAAGTTTCAAGTTTGTTTGCCCTCATCCAGTCCATTACTGATAACAGGCACTGATTTAGACTCAAGGCAGATTCCTTGACTTTCAGCTGGAAGGAATAGTTGAGTTGGTTGTCATCTGCATATAGGTGGCACTTCACTTCAAAACTCCGGATGACCGGTTTCATCTATATGTTAAACAGCATGGGGAACCACACAGGACAATGGGCAGGGGTTCAAACAGGAGCCCCCCAGCACCACCTTCTGGGAACAACCCTCCAGGAAGGTATGGAGCGACTGTAAAACAGTGCCTCCTAATTCCATCCCAGCAAGAAGGCCCAGGAGAATACTATGGTCAATGGTATTGAAAGCCACCGAGAGATCCAGGAGAACCAACAGGGACACACTCCCCCTGTCTACGTAGGTCATCCACCAAAGCGACCAAAGCTGCCTCTGTTCCATAGCCAGGCCTGAAACCAGAAACCCTGGTATAGTATAGAAACCCTTCATTGGATCCATAGTGGGGAAGCCTGGTAATTAAGTTCTCCAGACCCTCATATGAATCCTACTCTAGAGAATTCAGTATTATCAGGGCTGCCATAGTCCAGTTAAAGTCTGTAATTGCCCTACTGAAAAAGTTCTATGCTTCCGATTGCCAGCAAGATTTAGTCTCTGTTTAGGTGGCATATAGATTATTTGTGAACCCTGCTCTATGTTTAAGTGGTTCTGCCTATGCTATATTTGTTTAGTACAGTTGAAGCAAAGAACCAAATTTGAGAACTGAGCAAACTACAAAAGGCCATAGCATTTATAGGACCATAATAAGCAGCTTTGTGCCAGGTCAAACATTTTTTTCATTCAGTCTGGAATTTTTTCTTGTTCCATCTATTCATCGCTTTATAAGGCAAGAGCCTTTATATCATTACTTATCTAATCCTTCCACTTGGGGATGCCAAGGGCTGAATCTGTGGCATTCTGCATAAAAAGCATATGTTCCACTGTATAAACGTGAAGCCCTTTTGGATTCACAAAAATAATCTAGTAAACATGAGTAGAGCCAGGCTGCTTAAGTGTTAAAAAGATCTTTTATGGATTCTTTGGATCTATTTTTATAAAGCTAGAGATTTGTTCCAAGTAGTAGTCATGTCTAGTCAATTCCTGGACCCTGTACAAGACCCATAACATAGTGTTTTCTCTGCTGTGTTATCTATATGGTGTTTGATCCCTCGAAGTCATACCATGCATCATGCCCATCAGAATGTCTTGCAGTTTTCTTTTTTCTTCACACCTTTCTTTTACACTTGTTTTCAAAGAAAAGTTTGACCAAGTTTTTTTTAGTTTCAAACTTAATATTTTAATTCATGCTGTTTTTGGCAAATAATGTTTATTTTCTTAGTTTTCATTGTCCCCAGTTGTTGCTTTTTTTTTTTTGCATACAGTTTTATCTTGCTGTCATGCTAAAGTAACTATATTCATTTGATTTGTATTGGACTTATTTCCTGATGTTTATTGAAAGGCTTGGCATTTCACTTTCCAGTTCTATTTGCCTTGCATACTGTTGGTTCCAAGCAAATGTGTAACAAAAGTCATTGTAGGTGTTTGGGAGATATGAGGGGTAGAAATGAAATTGTGTAGATTCTGAGAACAGCTCTGATTTGCCCTCAACTATTTGTTGTATGGGTGGCATAATGACATACAGCTTTTGATTTTCAAAAGCAGTAGTGTGTATCCTATTCTAAATACTAATTTGTTGGTAGAGTATGTGACAAAAGGGAATATAAGATTGGTTTCTAAAATGATTTATATATTTACAGTGTTAGGCCCATCCATAAATCTCTAAAAAAATCCCTATAGGGAACACTTTTAGCTTAGTTTATTCTCACATTCAGTATAGATGCTGTTTTATCTTTATGCTTGAATCCTTGGTTTGAAATCTCTGATGATATGGAGGAAGAGATACTTGAGGCTGTCTGCTGTTAAAGTTAGATCACAGGAAGCTGTCTCGTGGACACCTTGGCACCTTTGTTTTGGCTTTATCCGAATAGCCAAAGTCATAATGTAGTCTGTGTCTAGACACAAGACTGTGTACCACAGTAACTACTAATTGAAGATAATTGCCTGTGTAAGGTTTCATTTGCAGCAAAATATATTTTTGTAGAACTTATGATTAATTTTCACCATGGAAAACACGGTGGAGTAGTCAGCATTTCTACTCCATAGCATGAAGCTTTTAATTCAAAAGAAAATGCTGGCACTGCACAGCCAGCCTTGATACTACATGCAGTCTATGAGTCACATGATTTCCATCCTTCATGGAGCTAGAGCAACTGAGCTCGAAGCAAATGTCACACAAAATCTGTGGATGTCATTTTCTGAAACTTCCTTATACAGTAATGCTATTTGCAAATTTATGGAAATATATGATTCAGTTTTTATGTTTCAATTGCTATATATCCTAAAGATAAGAATTTGACAATTTAGAATTATAGCTTGAACCAAAAGGAATTTGTTTTTTTTCCTTCCTTCTCACACAACTCCCCTGTGAGCCTCTGCAAAATCAGAGGATCATCCTGATAAATGTTGTTTCAGATGCATATTCATCTCACATTTTTCAGGGGGTCTAGTTGAGTGACGGGTTGTAAGGAAAGAGGTGTATTCCATGAATAGTTACCCTATTAGGACCTATGTGGTTGTATTTTTCAAGGTTGTTTTTGATTTTTTAGCTCATTTTACATATGACACCTTTTTAAATTTCTTAATGAATATTTTCCCTTAGTGCTCTCTTAATGCCTCCTATGTTGACATTTGTCAGTTAACAATTTTTTTTCCAAATTAGTTTAAAATACACCAGACATTTTGATGTCATGGTTTTAGAAACCTTTGATTTTTTTTTCTAAAATTGAGTATTTGGTACTGTGTCATTAGGAGGAATCATTTGAACAATTTCAGTATTTAGACAGATACAATACTATGCTGTAGTTCAAAGAAAGCAAAAAGAAGCCTCTTCTGTTTGTTAAAATACATATAAGATTGTAAAATCAGCTATTTTAGTTTGAGCCATTGGTAATCAAAACGTGCATTACAATTTGATTTTGCAGATAACTTTAGGTAAGGCTACCCTTTCTCCAGTTCAGAACTCACAGCTTACTGCAATTTTTAAAAATTTAGATCATATTATAAAAAGCTAAAAAAATATCATAAAAAGCTGAAAAGTGAGCAAATTATCAAAAGTTTCAACACAATTAAAAACATAATTAAAATATTAATTAAACATAATTAAAATATTAATTAAACATAATTAAAATATTAATTAAACATAATTAAAATATTATTTAAACATAATTAAAAACATAAAAGCTGGGTTACAGTTAAACATAAAAAAAGCCAAGATAATGGCAAGTAGACTGATTAATAACTGGCAAGTAGAGGGAGAAAACGTGGAGACAGTGACAGACTTTGCATTTCTAGGTGCAGAGTTTACTGCAGATGCAGACTGCAGCCAGGAAATCAAAAGACCCATTTTTCCTACTTCCAACAGACCTCACACCTCTGAGGATGCTTGCCATAGATGCAGGCGAAACGTCAGGAGAAATGCCTCTAGAACATGGCTCTATAGCCCGAAAAAACCCACAAGAACCTAGTGATTCCAGCCATGAAAACCTTCGACAATACATTAAATCAAAAGACGTTTACTTCTTGGTAGGAGAACAATGACCAGTCTCAATAAAATAGTGAAGGGTAGAGTCATCACACTGGCAACAAAGATCTGCATAGTTAAAGCAATGGTATTCTCTGTAGTAACCTATGGATGCGAGAACTGGACCATAAGGAAGGCTGAGCGAAGGAAGATAGATGTTTTTGAACTGTGGTGTTGGAGGAAATTTTTTGAGAGTTCCTTAAGCTGCAAGAAGATTAAATATGAAATGCTTTGGCCACATAATGAGAAGACAGGATGGCTTGGGTAATGATGCTGGGGAAAATGGAAGTGAAGAAGGGCTATTATTTATATACCGCTCTATCTCCCCGAGGGGACTCAGAGCGGTTTCCAAATAACATCATCAATACATACGGAGTAAACAATATAACCATAAGATTAACAAAACAATATAAGCATAAAAATTGTCGCCAATACACACATATATTAAAAGTAATCCTGCCTGTTTAAAAGGCCGGGCCGAGATTAGTGCAAGCTCAAAAATTCTGGGGGGCTATCTGATTATTAATTTGGGACAGAGCAGGATCTGAAATTAATTCACTTAATTTGAGATCCTGCTTTGAGCTCACACATTTTGGGTCCTGTCTGGATGGGCCCTCAGACTTTGTGTGACTTCTCCATGGTCACTCAATGGGTTCTGTGGCTGAGTGAAACCTATTAAACCATGACAGTTATTTAAAAACAGTGTTAGACTCTGTATGATGAAGTTGTTTGGGGGGCTTGAATTTCTCATGGATCTTGTCTCATTCAGCCATAATGCCAAACTATATAAAAATATAACCCACAGTGTTGTGTTATTCAAAGTTTTAATGTATTGTCGAAGGCTTATGCAAAGTTTTAAGTTTTTAACAATTCAGAGTTTCATTTTAGCCATGGAATGGTTTTGAATATCTGAATGTTTGCAGGAAGAGCAAACTACAGGGTTGCAAGAAAATGAGGGTCATTCAAAACTATTGAAAATGTGAACTTTTAACTACCTCCCATAATGAGGAAGAAGGATGAGAGTTTCGGACAGTGTCTTAGCAAGACAGAGAAAAATACTCCTGGAGTCATAGGGGACAATTTTCTCTATCTAGGACTTTGAGGAGATGCACTGTGCTCAAGAAAGCTCTTTCCTCACTCTAAATTAGGGGAAAAGCTAATCAGAAGTGACTAGAAGTCGCTTTTAGTTTTGAAAAGCATGTGTTTGTGGCAAAAGTTACTATTTCCAGGATTCCTGGGGGAGCACCAAACTTAAAAAAAAAACCCTCTTCCCTCAGAATCCTGAAAAAACAAAACAGCAAATCAAAATTGATTGGAAATCTGCTTTGAGGTTTTAGAGAAAGAAGAGAGGCTTAAAGGTAAATGTTGTATATGTTTGGTTTGTATATGCTGAAATGTGATGAACCACAGCTTCTATAATGTTTAGGAGTGTCAAGTTACTTTTTGTTTGTAAAACACATTTTTTTTATTAAGGAGGGCCAAGGGCCACACAAAAATACTTGATTATACATGCAGCCCATAGGTTACATGATTTCTACCCCTTGCATATTGAGGAGCAGCTGAGCCTAAAGCTAACCATGGCTCATTTGTGTACCACACATTTGTAGCCTCATTTTAGCACCTATTAATATTTGACTAGAAACCTGAGATAAATAAGATCAGTAAGCATTGTTAGCTGCCCTGTAAAGAAACATTTAATGAACTGTGATAGGCTATGTTTATTTTATGACAGGCCTTCTGACACTATGGACCAAACACATGAGGAGGGGTAGTCCTCTTACATTTTCCCATCACTTTCTACATGCTTTTCTGAACCTTTGTGTATAGAGACTGCCTATATAGTCCCCTTGGGGAGATAAAGTATAATTTACAAATAAAGTGTTATTGTTGTTATTATTATTATTATCAAAAGTACTAGAAAATCAGCATTCCATATCATAGGGGAAGCTGCAATGAGTAGAAGATACACCTTAATGATGTTACTTTTATATGAGGAGAGAAGCAGCAAAGGGGCCCTGCTAGCCTTTTATCCTTGTTTATTTTACTTATGTAGGCAATGTTTAAACAGGGTTCTAGTCAAAGGCACTTTACACATTGCTTATCTTAATACATTGGATTCAGAATTGTTTATAGAGAAACACGATAAAATAAATATATATAAATGTACCATGCAATTAATAAATATCCATAAACTGAAAAAATCCATGTGAATAAATATGTAATGAATTCTGCTCCATGTCAAAATTGACAGAGATATCTACGGATTCTACCTTGCAGATGCTGTATGTATTTGGAGTTGTGGTCTTTGTAAGCAGTATGCCAGCAAGCAAGGATTTCACTGGAAATTGTTTTAGATAAGTTCTTTATGTTATGAACATAAGTAATAAGAGATGCCAGAATTTTTGATGGTGCTCTTTGAATTCAATTGGGTTTAATTAAGTTTTTGTTGCAGCTTATATTTTGTGTCAAACCATGTCTCTACATAAATTATATGTGTAGATCTATGTAGAACAGGACAAAATTGAAAGATAGCAAAAATTGTTATTGTTTCCACTACATTCTTACTTAAATAACTTTTATCCTTAGCTTTAAAATGATGCCTACAGAAGTCACATCCTGTTAATTGATATACAGTAGAACCTTGACTTACGAGTGTCCCAGCATACGTACTTTTTGACTTTCAGGCCGTTGCTTGGCCCAAGTTTTGTTTTAACTTCTGAGCACCATTTTAATGTCCGAGCAGCCCAGAGGAAGTGCTCATGTGAGAGTACAGTGCCGCCTCAACCCTTTTCTTCCTCTGGGCTACTCTGCCCAAAGTCTCCGCCCCTCTCGTGGCAGCTTGGCCGGCCTGCCTGCACCCCCTCTCACTCCGTCTTCCTCCCTCCTCACACCCTCTTGGTTGCTGTGGCAGGGCTGCTCTCCCTCTCTCTCTTTCCATCTGCCTCCTTCCTTCTTGTGTCCTTTCGGCGGGGGTGAGGCTCTTCCTCCTCGCACCCTCATAGTACCAGCAAGGCTTCGCTTCATCCCTCTCTTTCCCCCTCTCTCTCTCCATCTCACTTCCTCTTCCTCCTATGTGTAGTTGGGATCACCTAGCAGGAAACTATGGGTATTATATTGGCTTTGAGATTGTCTGTTTCAGTTTGTTTCACTTTCTTAACATTTATTTAAAATATCAGTTAGAGGATGTTATAAAATAGTTCAGTAATTAAGAACACAAAAAGATACTGCACTATTCCCTTGTTAGTTTAAATGAAAAGTGATCTGCCCTACATGTAATCACCAATCCTAACTTGGAACAGCCTTAGTGGCTGGATGGAACTAAGCAATATTATTTGTTTACATTTTCTTTTATTATGTGTCATTATGGCTATACATTATTTGGCATTATAAAGTACAATTTCTTATTTAAAAACAAATTCATATTCTGTGTAGAGACAAATTAGAACTGGAAAGCTGTCTCGAGTTGGGTTTATTGAAGTGTCTTCCTACCTTGTGCCTAAACACAATGCTGGTTAATATTAAGATAAAAATATCAGGCAGTGAACAATGCTTTTAAAATGTCCATTGGTGACTGATAATCCTTGTGGGAAGGATGTAAAATATCCAGTTCCAGTCTGCCAACATCTGCTGCTTTGCTGCTCCATCTGCACTTATTAAAGCTTCTGCACTAATCACAGGGGAGTATGGTCCCCTTCTGCAACTGTGTTAATTAACAACCAGGGCCAGGTATCATCTGATGTTTCTTTTCCCTGGTGGTTAAACAAAAAATAAATTACTTGTATACTGGATTGCTGTGTAGACAAAAATGCTACATACATGTAGATTTGGGTGTCATTGCCCTGTGTTTGGTGACACTGTGCAAATGTGCTGACTTTGCTTCTGAGTATTTAATTTTTCTTCCAATTTGAAAAATGAATAAGTTAAGACAGTCTCTAGAATGGTAACGCATTCAATTGCCAGGATGTAATGGACACATCAATGAAAATTTGTCTATTTAATATGATTTTATTAATATGTTTAACACCATGTTTTTTTTAAATGTACATTTACAAGATATTAATAATAGTTCTGTGGATTGTCTTAATTAGAAGTACAGGAAGTCCCCGAGTTAAGACGTCCGACTTACAAACAACTCATAGTTATGATGTGAGACAACAGGAAGTGACAGAAATCTACAGCTAGGAAATGAAATTTACTCCTGAAAGAGTTATCATAGGGAAAAGGTGTCTCCACTGAAACTTTATCACTAATCGTTTCCACAAAAGCCAAATTTTTCAAAATCCAATTATCACAGGAACAGAAAGTGAGGTGATATCTTCTGAACAGGGACACAGACAGCAAAACAAAACTGCACAGGTTGTTAACCTTTCCTAAATTAAATATACCTGTTCTGACTTAAATTCAGCTTAAGGACAAACCTACAGAACTTATGATTGTATCACTTTATCACTAATCTGCCTGTACTAGAGTTTATTATTTGGACACCTTCATTTTGTAAAAATGTTATCATTCTGAGTCTCTGCATTTGGGTGATGCTCATTTTGCCCTGCAATTGAAAGTTTCATACTCCTGTTGCCAGACAGAAATCACTTCCTTCATTACTTTTTAAAGGTACCAGGGGTCACGAAGACATCTCTGGCCAAAGACAGTTACCTGTTCTGTAGCATATAATGTTTAGTTATGTTTCGATTCTTTCTGTCCATTATTAGGAGGCAAAGGAAAATGGTATGTGTTGGAATTTAAAGCACGATAGGATCCCACTTTTGAAGTGGCCTCATATGAAGACCTGACTTGTAAAATTAAATCATGGTTCTTCATGCAGGCATTTAGAGTCTAGTGAAATCATAACTTACTGGTAGTTTTGAACTTCCAAATTGCAATTTGTATGTTGTCTTAGATTTGTTTAAATCATGTGGGTAAAGGTCCCTCTTCCAGAACTATATCACAATTGGAACTGCACTCCAGTGACATTTGTAACTTTCACTTTGCCCACCTGTGTTATAGTTGATTTTGGCTCGTTTCACAGTTATTTAATGGATAATGCCCAACCTTTTTATTCAATGATATAGGTTATAAATAATATAAATATATCTAAACTAACTCCTCCAAATGTTATGATGACTTGGTACAGGGCATTAAATAAATTAATATTATAGAGCTCTTTTCCTTTTTTTCCCATCCAGAATCTTAGAATCCTCATGATAATTCCGCAGAATGCAGTGTCCATTCTTTGTGTCCTTCAGTCCTCTTTCTTAGATGTCCATTCGTAGAGCTAATCTTAGATCCATGTAGCCACAATATAGTTATCCTGACTTTTAATTTTTTTTATTTTACTGGGTATTTGCTTGTGAATGATAAGGCTTCTTTGTTGCGTATGAGTTAGTTAATTCTTCATCACAATGTAATATAATGTTGTAATGAATTGCCTCCCATATGAAAGCTATTATGCAAAAAACTGACTATATATTTAATTTATACATCAATTACCTTTTCCCGATATAGGGCCCAGGCAGCTTACAGAATAGTACAAAGGTTAAACCTGTTGTAGTACAGCGTGATAGTAACGTTACTACTACCGGTAGAAGGGAGAAGAGGGCTGTGCAGGTGTTGGAGGAGGAGCAGCAGCAAAAGCGGATTAGAGATATATTCATGGTTCCAACTGATTCCGAATCCTTTGAGGGTTTCTCAGACTGTGAAATGGGGGAAGGAGAGGAAAGCAGGGGAGTTAAGCGGGCTACTCATGAACAAGAATCTGATGAGGAGATCCAAAGGAAGGGTATCCGTGATATACTTAGCGCTCCACCAGCAGATGAAGATTTTATGGGTTTTGAAAGGAGTGATGGGACTGGGAGTGACATTGAGGAGGACGATGATCTAGACTGGACCCGTATACAGGAAATTAGGGACATCTGTACGCAGCCTACCTCCATTGATGACTTTAAGGGGTTTGCAGAATAGTAGCAATCTGGGAACACTTGGGAGGACCTAAGTCTTGACAGACGCTGGCAAAGGTGGAGAGATGGGAGGCAGTGCTCAGCTGCAGAGAGCGGAAAGTGATGATGAAAGGGTGGGGAGCAGTTCATCCTCTGAGGAGGAGTTATAGGATATAAGTTGGTTTGGTTTCAGTAGGTCTTTGCAGAAGGCAAAGTGTTTTTTCGGGTGTGAATCTTTGTTACTGCCATTACTCTCAAGCTTGGGTCTTTGGACTACAGATCTTCATGTTTCCGTGACTTCTGGCTGATACTCCGTAAGTGCTGACTTCAACTCTCCCTTTTTGACTCCAGACTGTGTTTTGACAACGACTACACTTTTTGGACTGCTTCTTCTTACTTTGGACGTGCCTGGGCTACGAACTGCTTTTGGACTCTGATTTTGCTTGCTCCCATCTTGTTTTTCTGTGCCTTTTGGACCTTTTGATTTACAAGCAGATTGCTGTATATTTTTGTTATCCCAGATTATACTTCAGGATAATCCGGATTATATTTAAATTGGGGTTTTTACTTAGTGGTTGCTATAGACTTTTAGTTTGTGCTAGAGACACTGAAGCAAGTGTCTCTAAGCCTTTTTTGTGTTCAATAAACCTGTGTTTGGACCTTTTATATTGTATTTGCCGTTCTTGAGGCTTCTGGGTCTTGACAAAACCAGTATTAAAAATGATTAAAACTACTTTAAAACAGTTTTAAAACACTTAAAACATTAGCAATGCAGGTAAAAATACATCACACTTTGTTAAAATGATCTTCTCCATGGACAGTTAATAGCCAAAAGCGTGTCTAAATAAAAGGTACTTACTTGCTTGAGGAAAGAAAAGAGAAAGCAGGCCAGTCTAGTCATACATGGGGAACAATTGCATCTCCTGAAATCGGCCATCAAGAAGGCCCTGTTGTTTGTCTTCTCCAAATGTGCCTGTGATGATGGTGGGATGTTAAAATTTGGGCAGGCCCATGCAGTAAGATATGATCTTCCTGATCATCATAATTATTGTTGTTATTTGTATCCTGCCTTTCCTCCATGAGTCAGTTTTCAATTTAAAACTATGCTGTATGCTTGAAACAACAACAACAATACTTTACTTATAATCTGCCCTTCTCACCCCGAAGGGGTCTCAGGGTGGATCACAGTACACATACACGGCAAACATTCAATGCTGCTTTGTATAGACAATACACAGACAGAACAGAAGGAGGTGCCATGGAAGATTGGGCTTGAATCCAGAGGGTGCTGTTGCTCTATCCTCTATGACGAAGAGCAGTGAGGACTTCCTCCTTCCTTTTGGTCGCCCAGCATTTTCTGATCATTCTTTATGGAGTCTTAAACACCTCCCTCGCTTTTAGCGGTATCTAATTTCTTTAATCACAGCTAAAGCTGTTTTCGAATTGCTTAGGTAAACAGTGAGCTGGGACTGACTGATCCAGGACTTTGAACTTGCAACCTCTTGGTTGAAAGATCTTATGATTGCTGATGATTTACCAGCTGTGCTAAACCTCTGGCCCCCTAAATTGGGATTAAATGCTCAGAAACATTAAAAAATAAACTATACAACTAAAAACAATAAACAGTCCAGAAACAGTACAGTTGAAAGCAGTGCAACACTCTGTTAAAATTCTTTTGTATTATGCTGCTATCTCCTATCTTCAAATTTCATAAAATCATATTTTGA